ACCCATAGGGGCCCGTATCCTCTTTCTTATCTAAAATGCCAAATTGTACTGGTCTGTCTTTGTGACGCCTGTTCTTACAAGCAAGTTTCAACTTAATTTACACTTGCAAGAGAGATAACTAAATTGTAAGTACTGGACATTTTTTTAATGGGCGAGAGATTCCTCCCCCCGCGGACGGCTGTGTGTTCGTATCAATATGGGTTTCAGTCAAGAGCACTCCTCGGCAGCCTCTTGGTCAGAAATTGGCGTATCTCTGTTTACAGCCATTCAGGGTCACTGAGCTGGCATATCCGGGCCTTCTGCTCAAGGCTTTTACTGCTCTGTGTGCCCTACATGATCCAGGCAAGCAAAGATGGATGTTACAGGGGGACTCCTGTCTGGCTACAACATTCCCATGTCCAGCAAACTCTCTTGATTCATCACCAGTTAGGTCCTGAGGGTGCCGGACCAGAGACGTCCAACCTGTACAACTGTCAAAGCTGATGCACACTCAAATGCAGAGACTTGCTCCCGAGCTTGAGAGAGTGAGACAGAAGTGTAAGAGACGAGAAGAGAGGAAGAGACGTTTTCTATGTGATGTTGCTTTGAGGGCATTTTCTGGAAGTTGCATATAAATGTGATAACTAAAGATTGAGTCTAATGCTATATAAGTTTTTTCCTTTGAGGTGTATCTGGGGGACAGGGTTTACCTTTGGTGGTTAAGGGGAGAAAAATGTCTCAGGAGGGCACCAAGAATTATGGAAAGCAACCCCAAATTGCTGCCTCTGTTCATGGTCTGAAGCAGTGGTCACCGATCAGGATCTACTGGTAGATCTTGGAGCCTCTGACAGGTGATCCTGACTGGTTTGGCCAAGAGGCTGGCAAGTGCGACACTTTAGCTGCCCCTCTCCCCACTGCTGTGCATCTCCTGCCTTTTGCCTTGGAGCTGTCTTCCCTCCCTCCCCCCCCCAGCTTCCTGCTTGCTGTGCAGAGAAGGGAAGGGAGAGGAGGGAGGATTGGAGAGGAAGGGAGGATGGAGTGAGCAGGGGGCAGGACCTCAGAGAAGTGACACAGAGGAGGTGGGGCAAAGGTATTTGTGTTTAAGATAGCTCCTGGATTGAACTTAAATTCAAAAAGTGATCTTTTGCTAAAAAAAGGTTGGAAACCACTATAGACTGAAGCCAGCATTCCAAATGAGAGAGTGGGTTGCAGATTACCCTCTGACCCTTGACAGTGAAGAATGAGTGGAGTTTGCTGCTTGAGACTGTAGTTCAGAGCCTGTCAGGGTTCTGGGAAGAGGATGTAACATTCAAGGAATTCCTTCTGTCACATAAGACAGTGACTCTCTTCCTTGTTCCTGGTTGTTACATTACATTAAAGACTGGGAAAGTACATTAAAATACTATACATTTCATGTAAAAAAATCCATTGTTGCTACAGGGATGTAGTATTTTTAAAAGGGAAATTATAACCATGTAATCTAACATCAATGCCTGGAAAGATAGTGGAAAAAATTATTAAACAATCAGCTCATAAGCACCTTGAGGATAAGAAATTATAAGGAATAACGAGCAAAGATTTGTGAGGAACAAATTGTGCTAAACCAAGCTCATTTCTTTCTTTGACTGGATAGCATTCATATCAAAACAAGTTCTAATTTATTCAAAAGTTTGAGAAATTGTCATAGCGAACACATTTATATATCTTATTTTATATGTATTTATGTTACTGTATATATTTATAAAAGGTGTGATAGACTTTTATAGTGAGATAGTGAGAAAGGTCTCTGACACAAGGAGTTGACTACCTATAATTTAGACAATGTGCAAGTACAAATTAGAGAAAGATAGGGGGTGCGCTGGACTGGTTTTCATAGTTCAGATAATAGGTTCAATTCTTTTCCTTCTTAATGAATAGGATGTTTCATGTTCATAGGGAGAGGAGGATTAGAACATAGGAGTTTCACAGCTAAAACCTGTGGAAATACTTTGATATGCTTTTAAGTTTGCAAGGGAATGCTTTATGAAGTCAAGTGTTTATTCTGTTTGTTTTATGATTGACAAGTAATATGCTCAACTTAGCTTAGTTAGAGCGGCGAGGAGTCCTGTGGCACCTTATAGACTAACTGAACTGTTGGAGCATAAGCTTTCATGAGCAAAGACCCACTTAGTCAGATGCATGCATCTGACAAAGTGGGTCTTTGCCCACAAAAGCTTATGCTCCAACACTTCAGTTAGTCTATAAGGTGCCACAGGACTCCTCGCCGCTCTAACTAGCTTAGTTTGCTGATCAGAAATATTTATAAGAAAACAGATAAGTAGAAAGGTATACAATATTTATAGCTCAGCCATTGCTGCAATTTTTAGTGTTGAGCTAGTTGTTTCATCTCCTTTGTTTTTAAAAAATTTTACGTAAGCAGTGCAAAGTACCAACTACATAGTGGAGATAACTAAAGGTTTCAGAAAAACGAAAAGCACTCCCAAGATAATTGCTACTGATGGCTAATGCATAGTACAGTGTCCATGTAGAAATGTTTTCTTACCAGAACAGAATTTTAAACACAAAACCAACATTTGTAATTATTTTTCTCTTACTTTGGAAGTTATTAAAATTGTAGGTACAGAAAAATATTTGATGGATTTAGGGCCACAATTAGTTTGCTCAATAACATGACAGTAAACACATTTTGTGGGAACTTTCCCTCCTTCAGCAATGAAGCATTAGTAAGGGACAACAGAGAACAATGATGTGAACACTTAAAATATTTAAAATATATTTTACTTTCTCATTTCTGAAAAACTATTTTATAATACAATTTATTTTTTAAAGGTACTTTGAATTGTACCATAAATACTTTGCCACACAGAACAATAACAACAACAAAAAATCATATCTTCAGCTTGCTTGGCTTGCTCTTCTGGAACTGCATAATTATGCAGAAAATCTATTAGCAGATCATAATCAGGTTAACAATAAAGAATGAATTACACTGCACTTCATTCAGATTCAGAAGTAGATTTTTAACACTAGACAAAAATCTGTTATAAACAGTAATGACAGATCCTTGTTTACCAAATCACATGTGGTACCAGGGTATGGAATGTGAAGGGGGTAGGTTGAGGTTTGGTGATCATATTGTTTAAAAAACCTCCACCTAATTAAGCTCTGCCCATATATGTTGACAAAATGAGAAGACGCTCATAATAAACTGTTCAGACACCTCACTGAAGTTGATTGCCTGTTGAAGGTGTTGTTTCAGGTTGTGTGCAAACCTGTATACGCATCTCTGTATCAGTTACATTTGGTTAACATTTTTAATGTAACAGTAAGAGACATCTTTTTTAAAAAATTTAAATGAAAGGTGTGTTACTGGAGGACGAGATGAAAACTTCAGTTGTTTGTATCTGTAACAGTAAGAGACATCTTTTTAAAAAAAATTAAATGAAAGGTGTTTTACTGGAGGACGAGATGAAAACTTCAGTACAGTGATGGTGCCATATATAAGCTGTTTTTGAGTCTGTAACTCTTACCCCTCAATATTCTCTGCTGCTTTTCTTTATTCTTTCCACCCTTTACTGACAATAATGGGATAACTCTCATTCTGTTTCAGCTGGGATTCTCAGGTCCCTGGCTTCATCTTTACCGACATGTTCATTCAAATTTCTACTCGCCTGCCATCACAGTATGTCTACGGATTTGGTGAAAATGAACACACTATGTTTCGGCGTGATATGAACTGGCACACTTGGGGAATGTTCGCCAAAGACCAGCCCCCTGGTGTAAGCAGAAACAGATTTTGTTTAATCTCTTTGTAGCTACATTTTCCATGATTTATATCAGTAAAAGTCTTTGTGGTGTGGTATTCCCTCAGTTCAGGTCTACACTAGACCTGGAAGGTTGGTGTAGGGTACACAGCTGGAGTCAGCTTACCTTAAACTGAGCTTGGCGCCATCTTCACAGAGGAAGGCCAACAGGAGCAAATGCTCCCGTTGGCTTTCCTTACTCCTGAGTAGCCCTTGGCATTTTATTTAGCGGGTCTTAACTAGACCCGCTAAATTGAATGCCAGAAGATCAGTCTCTGGTGCAGCAAGTGAAGATGTGGCCTACGAATGAACCAAGGCAGACAATTTTTGAGAATTTAAGATACAATTTACTGAATTCTGCTTGGGGGCAGGAGGTTCATATTTTGCCTGTGGCTTGTAGGCCAGAACTGAAAGTGCGAGCGAGGCCTGGCACACAACTCAGGAGGGGGTATTACACTATGATTATTTGGCGTGGAATGATAAAAAACCATCACTAAATATGCAGGCAGGCCCAGCATTGAGATTACACATAGTTCTGTGAGTCCTGATTTATGGAGTTCATATCTCAGTCCTAGGCCTTAGTTGAATAGAGAAACTAGTATAAATGTTCATCCAGAGGTCAGCAAAGTCAATGTAAAAATCCTGTTAGACAATAGGTCAGGACTAAGAGGTTTATGATATGTAAAATGTGTTTCAAGGAATGGACATCTCTACTCCAATCTTTTTAGTTATGATCAAAGTCCTCAATTGGAAATCAAGTCTTGATGCAGAACTGAAGAGTGGCAAATGCATCATATGCAATAGTACATTGCTGCTTTTCATGCTTCTCAGCTAATTGTTTTACTGCAAATGATAGTTTTAGAAAAGCTAAAAAAAGTGTGATGCCAATTTGCATATTATAGGATGTTGTAGTGTATAATAGAGATAGTCAAATTTCCAAACAACAGAAATGTTGGATACACAGTAATACTCACATTCCTGTTCAGCATGGAAAATCACATACCTGTGTGAACATACTAGTGTCTAGTGTCTGGTAACAGGTAATGGATGCATGTTTTATGCGTCGGTTATTTTCTGCTTGGTGATGTGAGGTTTGCAGCCCTTCTAAAGTGAACAATAACAGTGGTGGTGTCTTTCTCTTAGAGCTGTCACACGATGGATGTTTTGGTTCTCTGGCAATTTTGAATCAGAAATAAAATTGTTTCCTGTAGAATTTAATACTTTTCAAAATTTCCACAACTTTAAAATAGATTAAAAAATGAGTCAAACTAAATGTTTTGTTAGACCTGAAACAGAGCTTTTCAGTTTGATGAAGATTTTTTACATTTTTAGTTTTTAAAATAACATTACAGAAAATTCTGAAACAAAAGTGTTGTAAACTGAAAAAATGAAAGGTTTTGTCTAAAAAATGTTGAAACACATATTCAATATTTTTTAAAACTAAGCTGAATCTGTACAAATCATTGCCAAATCTTCATTTTTGCGTGCATGAGTGTACGCATGCACACGTACACATACACACACATGCACCAGCAAAACCTTTTAATCTAGCGCTAATTGCTCTATACCAAGTCTTTCTTATATATGCTGCTTCTCCACCATGCCGTTCATCATAATTATAGTCTCCTCATTGTTACCATTTCAGTTCTAATGCTTTTCAAATCAGAGTCACCAGTGTGGATTACAAAAACCTGTTTGAAAACAGGACTGCTTTGTACTGAGAAAGATGTTTCATGTTAGCAGAAATGTATCAATAGTTATTTAGGGACCTAAAGTAATACCATTACTTTGTTCGTACTTGAATGCTCTCAAACATATTGAGTTAAAATGTCAAAGTGTTGAAAATCATTTTTTGTAGGGAACTTAGATATTGACCACAGTCTGTAATTCTCTTGGAAGTTGTTTGCCCAATCATTTGTTGCTGTAAATAAATGGAAAATATGTGAATAGTTATGATATTTGTGCAGCAGAAATTCAAGTCTTTTTTATTTTGCAGTACAAACTGAATTCTTATGGTGTACATCCTTTTTACATGGGCTTAGAAAATGATGGAAATGCTCACGGAGTCCTCTTGCTTAATAGCAATGCAATGGGTAACAAAAAAATTACCTTTTTTGTTCCTGAAGTCCTTTCATATATTGTCCTTTTCCTTAACAATATATTATTTAAACATTCTCTTTCTGCTTCCATTTTCTGTCTTTTCAGATGTCACATTCCAGCCAACTCCTGCCCTGACATATCGCACTATCGGAGGAATTCTGGATTTTTACATGGTGTTGGGCCCAACACCAGAGCTTGTTGTTCAGGAATACACTGCAGTAGGATTGATATGCTGTCACAATTAATTCTATTTTTGTTCTGATTATATATATATTATCATATTTTAATATTGTATTTTCCCTCTATTTTGTTATTAGCTAATTGGTCGACCAGTTATGCCACCATATTGGGCTTTGGGATTTCAGTTATGCCGTTATGGATACAAAAATGACATAGAAATCTCTGACCTGTATGAAGAAATGAAGGCAGCTCGGATACCTTATGTACGTTTTTCCAATTAAAATATATGCTATCAGATTTTTCTGACCCCTAATGAAAAGCAGAAAAACAACAACTGCAGAACATAAATTACTGCATGCACTTAAATGTAATTCAACTTCTTTGTATATGCTGAGTTAAGTAACAATACTGCTCTTTTTACTTTTTATCCATATTTTAAAATCTTATTCATGTATATATTTGTTGGTTGCAGTTAGCTGAAATAATTTTAAATGTATGTATATTCCTGGAATTTGGTCTCAAACATTGCACCATCTTTCGGTTCAGTCCTGCATTCCCTGTGCTCTGAAGAGACTTATTGAGTTAGTGGAAGTATTAGAGATGCAAGGAATGCAGGAATGAGGTTCTGGTGAAGACAAATTGGGACATTGGCTAGATTTAGCCTTTCAAAAGCAGAATTGTCTTGGGATGGGTAGTGGTGCAGCTGGAGTCCTTGTTAGAAATTCTCTTTGACTCCCATGGGGCTCCTTAGGTTAAGACTTTATTGATGCAATTGTGGAAATTATTCTGTAGAACAAGCAACATTGGTATACAACTTCTACCCCCGAGCCCTAGCATTTTCTCATATTATTATCATTTGCACTAGGGTAACACCTGTAGGCCTCAATGGGTCCCTTTCTTGTGCTAGGCACAGAAGTATTCTGTTATGAAAACCAGTAGGAGGAGTCAGGAGATGGAGGAGGAGGAGAAAAATGCAAAACATATTGTGTGTTACATTATTTTACCCTGAAATATTATTAAAGGACCATGGCTAGGCACCCACCCAAGGAAAACTTCAGACGGAACCCCCGTAATGATACATCAAGCTAAAAGTGTTCAATCACTTGATGATGCAGACCAATTCATGGAAGCATCTCAATACGTAACAATCTGATGTGAATATCCATTTTCCTCACTATTTCATGACATTGACACCCACGCACAATAAAAATGGAAATTCATTGCTCTGTAGCGTAAGCACATTTTCTATCTTCAAAATGAGTTTTGTTAATAAAAGGTTTAATTTCATAGTGTCTTGATTTTTGGAGTGTGTAACTTTATTCATTAAATATCATTTGTTTTAAAATGGATCAGCTCCCCATTTTACAAAGAGAAAATAGATAGCTGTCTTAATTTGACTGCAGTGTTATAAATATAAACATAGCAGAAATGATGCTCACTTTACAGACATTGTTGTGTCCTACAGGATGTGCAATACACTGATATTGATTACATGGAACGACAATTAGACTTTACCCTCAGCCCAAACTTCACTGGACTACCAGCTCTGGTTGACAGGATGAAAATGGAAGGAATGAAATTCATCATTATCCTGGTCAGTGTTGAGATCAACCTTTTTTACCCTTGTTATAGGTTATAGATACACATACTTCATCTAATGCTCTTGATATGTATTAAATTGTTCTCCATACAAATGTACAATTGTATCTTATCTTTAATTTTAGGATCCAGCCATTTCAGGCAATGAAACCAATTATCCAGCCTATACAAGAGGTGTCCAGAATGATGTCTTTATTAAATGGCCCAATAGCACTGAAATTGTATGGGGAAAGGTATTGTTTTTAGATCACCTGATAATATTAGAGATGTTATTTCCAAATGTGAATCGGATTATCATGGTTAAGAGGTGACTTGATGATGGTTTACAAGTACTTACCTGGGGAAGAGATACTTAATAGTAAGCAGCTGTTTAATCAAGTGGGAAAAAGCATGAATTGATGCAGTAGGAGGTTGGGGCCATGACACCTGAGCTACATTGATTCAGTCAGTAGAGTTGGGGCTGCTATTTAAAGTTGCCCTGTTAAGGAGGTCCATGGCATGACTACTTGCCTTCTTACAGGGTTAATCCGCATCTGGTACCAGGCTTGCCAATGGGGGGGAGGGAGGGAGGGAGAAGGGAACAAAGGAGGCAGTTAACCCAGGTGATTCAAAGAGGCCCAGGGCTCCCAGCAGCAGTGGTGGTAGCTGGGGCCCTGGGCTCTTTTAATTGCTTCTGAAGCACCATCCAAGGCCCTGCCCCTTCTGGGAGCATGGGGAATCAGGCCACTGTTGGAAGACAGGATACTGGGCTAGATGAATGTTTGATCTGATCCAGCATGGCTGTTCTTATGGTTTTCACAAGGTGATCATGACCTCTGGTAATTTCCCTGGGATCTGCGGATCTTGAATGTGTGGATTTGGTTGGGTCTGGGGGGCTGAGTCTTTGATTCTGAATGGGGGCAAAATACTTTCTTATATCCTCTAAGAGATCTGTAGGAGACACCATGGCACTCAGCATGCCTTAAGAACATAAGAACTGCCTTACTGGGTCAGACCAAAGGTCTGTCTAGTCCAGTATCCCATCTTCCAACAATGGTCAGTGCTAGGTGCCCCAGAGGGAATGAACAGAACAGGTTCAAGTGAGCCATCTCCTGTTATCCATTCCCAGCTTCTGGCAAGCAGACGCTAGGGACACCATACCTGTCCGTCCTGGCTAATAGCCATTGATGGATCTATCCTCCATTAATTTATCTAGCTCTTTTACGAACCCTTTTGGGTTTTCTATGTATTATCACAATTGAGCCTATGCCATGCACCATGCTGAGCCATTTATAAATTGTTGGGCCTAGAGGCTCCTTTTTAAATTCAGTTTGGAAGAGTGTCTAACAAAGAAAGTAGAAATAGCTGTACGTTCTAAGGAAGTCCAGATCTTCAGTGGTGGGAACAGAGCACAGAACACAATTCTTGTCAATTACATACAATCCTATGTTTTGAGTTTGGCTTAAATGAGTGTCATATTTTTCTGATGAAAATGGTGTGTTGTTTGCAGCAGAACAATGAACAAGTGAATCTGGCTAGCTTTAGGAGCAGTCTATGTGGAAAGGAACATGAGTGATGGGATATGGTATCTATGAAAATGAGGAGTAATGTGAGTTCAAACCAAGGGGTTTGGTTTGAACTAATGTGTCCCAGTGCGCACTTTCACTTTCAAAACAGCTGTTGAGCGGAGTAATGCGCCGGTGAGATCATACTAATGAAGCGTGGGATATTTAAATCCCTGCTTCATTAGCAATTTTGGTCACCTACATTTGCATCCCTAGTTCGAACTAGGGAGCAAGTGTAGATGTATGCTTAGAGACAAAGGGGATGATATGGAAAACTTGTAATGAGAGTGATCAAGGTATTGTTTTTGAGAAGCAGCTGCTTTGTTTTTTAGGATTCCATCATAGTGTGTAAAGCATAGTGCGTTGTAAATTTAGTACCAGCCCATGTAATTTAGAATGATTTTTTTAAAATGCCCTTCCTCTTCTGTAGGTTTGGCCAGATCTTCCCAATGTAGTTGTTAATGAATCACTAGATTGGGATACTCAAGTAAAGGTAAGTGTATTGCATTACAATGATGCTGTATTTTGATGGGTTCCTGTCACTGATTGGCAAAATCAGAAGGAGGTGGTATTACAGTTGCTTAAGGGAAACAGCAAAGCAGTTATCAAATGTAATCAATTTTAATGATAGGTGAGGTAGAGACATAGAAAATGGGTAACCAATAGGGATGTAAGCGACTAATCAACTATCTGATAAGCAAAAGCTTATCAGATAGTAGACACACTAGTCGACTAGTCACTTCCCCCACCCTTGATTCTTCTGTCAGAAAGAGGCAGAAAGGGCAGGGGGAAGAGGAGGGGCTGCTGGGGGGAGCCAACTTAAAAGCTGGGGCTTTTGTACATTTCAAAGGAGGAACACCCCTGCTGCATACCTGCCCCCTTCCACGGAACTGGAGCTCAGAGTCCCCTGTTGGCCCCAGGTTCCATGTGGCCCCAGGTTCCTCACGGCACTTCTGCCTTTGAAATGTAGCAACAGCCAGGGAGGCTCTTGCTACATTTCAAAGCGGAAGCACCCTTATCGACTAATTGAATAGCTGATGGAAATTCCATCAACTATTCAATTAGTGGATTAATCTAATTTTAGCATCCCTAGTATCCAAGTCTACTACAGGATCTAAGAAAAAAATATAAAACAATCTGAGGCCTTTAATAAGCCCCCCAACATTTCAAAGTTATCAGTGCTTCCTGTTTTCATTTTAATCTTTGGCATGTATTATAAAAAGAATAATGAGGCTGTGTCACTTTCTTTTTTTTTTTTTATTCCTTCACTGGAAAAATTTTTTTTTTTTTTTGCTTTGCAAATACCTCTTCATGGAGTTTGTAAACTTGAGTATCCTTGAGTGATTTGTGGTTCATTTAAATATTTTATAAAGCTTATCCTATTCCATCATGTGCTTAAGGCTCAACCCTATGAGAACACCCTTTGTTTTCATAGACTTTAGTTGAAGTTCATGGCAAACTCCTTGTAGAGTAAAATGGTGAAGTAGTCAAAATATTACAATTCATATAATAAATAAACATAATTCAAAGCTTGAACAAAATATTTGCTATGAAATATCCCATTTATGTGGATAGATTACAATTCTCTGTTGTCCTCCCTTTCACTGAGACTATAATATTTTTCCCCATTCAGTCTCACTAACTTTAAGTTATGCCTCTCCAGTTAGTTACCTCACTGACAGTTTTTGGTTTGCATACGGAATATAGGGCTGAGCTCTAAGTAACCACTATGATTATACAAAAACTGATAAAAGGTGTATATTATGTAGGGGTTAGAGCAGAGGGTAAGGCCAGGTCTACACTACTGGGGAAGGAACTACTAAATTACTCTGAAAGATTGATCGCTGCAGCGTCGATCTTCCACTGAGTGAAGACATGGCCATTAAGACTAGTTATGCCATGCTACAATAGGCGGTTTTACTACTATCCATCAACATAATATCTGAGCCATTAGTGCTCTTTTATTCTCTGGCAATGTAAAGGGACTTAAAGTGAGTAAATTGCCTCTGTGTGCCTCATCTTACCCATTCCAGAAGTGATATTTCTATTACAGCTGAAAAGTAACCACAACATTTCTCTAAGCGTTATTGCTCATATAAAATTAAAGCCTTTTTTAGTCTGCATGTTAAGAATCACAGAAAATAGTGTTTATAGTTAGAACTGTGCAACCTTCAATGTAGGAAATCAGAAACCAAGCAAAATTTACAGGGATGCAAACCCAGTAATTCCATCTCAATAATCTGTATCTTTTGTCTCTTATGTTGTATATTACTTTTACAGCTATACAGAGCTTATGCAGCTTTCCCAGATTTCTTCCGCAACACCACAGCTCAGTGGTGGCAAAGAGAAATAAGAGAATACCACACTAATCCAAACCAACCAGAGAAAAGTGTGAAGTTTGATGGTCTGTGGATTGTAAGTATATATACTTTCTCTGTTTTATAGCTATTTTTTGTTTGTTTTTTGTACCTTTAGTTTGAATATTTTTAAG